TGATCTTAATGATCTATTACAAAACTGGCACAAACAATTAAATTTCTCCTTTATAAGTTGTCTACCAAATTGTTGTTCCACGAGTTGTCAACTAACACAGGTTTTGGTGTACAGCTAAAAGATTATATTTGAAGTCATGGAAATCTCAAAGAGACCCATGAGGCAGCTGCACACATTTTAGGAACCAATTCAAGTATCTTCTTTTGTTCTGTTCAAACAAAACCAAATTCATTTTCTTTTAAACTGAGAAAAGGTACGAAGTTTTTAAAACGTAAACTCAACTAGCGCGTTATAAGCAAAAAATAGAACTATCTCGGGATCTGGAGTATCTATAGGAGAGCACTTAAACCTGAGTATGTTGGCCGCTTTTGGAACAACAATTGCGTGATCTATTTAGACAAGTAGTCAACTTATAAAGAAGGAATTTAATTGTTTTACTAATATTTGTAATTGATTATTAAGGAGTCGTGTTGGCTCAGGGGATAGAGCATTTGCCTCTCAATGAGGTAAACATGTTCGAATCCAAGCAATATCTGGTCGATACGAATTCCGCACCCGGCTCACGTCGACCACAGTGCTGACGCAAAAATATTCTCAGTGGTAGACGTATTATGGGTTAGAGTACTTTGTCCCTTTGCCGTCACGCTATCCGTAGAAGGTTTACGTGATTTTCCTCTCCATATAAGGCAAATGCGGGTTAGTTCCGTCAAAAAGTCCTAAACGAAGGCAAATTTCTCTTAATACTTGATACAAGAGTTCCCTTGTCTCCTGAATTGGGTTCAAAACGACAAGTCTATGGAGTTGAACATTGATAGTCGTAAAGCCAAAATTGGGTCGGTAGTTCAACGACGTTCATAAAATAAAACTTATTACCGAATGTCAACTTATTAATGTAAATTAATGAAAATGCTGAGGGAGAATAATCGAAAGTTCAGCATTTTTTCAGCTGGAAAAAATTGCATGTTTGCCTGAATAAAAAATTGCATTCTGGGATAGCAATCCATTAATAAACTTAAGAACATTAAGGAATCAGACATGAATAAATAAAAAATTCAGATGCGAACAAAAGCTTCCCAGAAACTGGCATCATTTATTTTTTCAAATGATATCGAAATTCTTGGTTTCATGAAAGCAAATTTATCGTGATTCACACCTCAAATAAGCATTTGGAATCTTGAAAAGAATTTTTTTTTTGTTCTTATTAATCTTTTCTTTTTTCCAATGCCCACCCGATTGACACTCGTCATTCAAGTCACACTTGTCGTAGGGCAGATTTGTTGGCCATTCTTTCGGGGGCACTATATTAGGTGAACCACCGCTGCTTCCGCGGTAAGGACGGATACTATAGAGAATGAAAGAACATCCATGCCCTGTCCGGTTTTCGAACTCCGGACATTTCTAATGTGACGTCAGTTACCTGACGGTCTGCTTATAGATGAATCTTATCAAGAAAAAGATGAAATGATATTAAATGTAAATTTTACAAAATCCAATTTAATCTGAGTACTTTGAATGATTCGAATATGCCGAAGAATTGTGCTTCATTAGTCTTTACAATAAATAGAAAACTCCTTAAAATGGAAATTAATTCATTTTAGTGTGGGTAGAAAGGTTTTTAATTAAAATGCATTTGTGCTATTTTAAATGATGAATATAAGTGATTCCATCAGTTATGATCCACGATAATATGAATGACAAAAGAATCACTAAACACATTTTAAACGTAAAAGAATCCCTAAATACATTTGCCGCCAGGTGGCCGAGTGGACTGATTGCCTGACTATGAAGCCTTGGAACCGGTTGATTGCTGATTAATATATCTTAACCAATAAGTTTCAAGGACTAGTCTGGGGAGGAGTGGAAAGCAGAGGCGCAAACGTCATGATCAGAAGAAAACAGAAACCAACTTGCCGTAGCTATGATTATCCCCCCACAATTATTTATGTAAAGAAATAGTAATTATAGTTTAAAATGTTACTACAAAGTTTTTATGTAGTTAAATTTTTTGGTTTGGCGATTAAATAACAGAGAGTGACTTTTTTTCTCTTCAATCATAATCTTGATTTATTTTACTGTTTCAAATTTCAAAAGAAATTTTTTTTTTTTTTTAAATATATACTTTGTTCAGTTTTTCTTAATAAACAAAAAGTAAAAATATTTTAACGAATTGTGAGTCCCATGAAAAGGAAATTTTATTTATGACACTCTTTATGGGAAAAGCGAGAAACTTTTACGACAGCATCTTTAGATGTAGTCATTATCATTTCAAACTAACATGCGTTTTCAAACCCAAATTGGTGCCTCTTTTGCATTCCTTTTTGTTAGAGACGAGACAAAAATGGGAAACTCCCGTTCACACATGAGTTCCGTGAGCATGTGCAATAGCATCTATACCTTCACTGCGTCATATGCAGGTATGGATGGTTGACTGAATTTAAACAATAACAAGCCGAAAAAAACTTCGAAAACTTTCAGTATTTCCCTCCCCTTAAGTTACGCTTACGAGGCGATGTGTAAGGCTTAATATTCTGGGAAGTTTTATTAATGTGATTTACGTTTAAATTTGCTCTCATTTTTACCATTCATAAAAGTTTCCGGTAATTTGTAAATTAATGTAATTTTTTCTTAAATCAAGTTTAAGTGAAATTTTACCATTCATAAAAGTTTTCTGTAATTTATGAATTCTAACAGGTCGTCAACCGAAAAAAAATTTAAGGAAATTGATATCACAACATAACAAAAGTTTATGGCTTGCCAAGTATTGAGTGTTGTCCCTTATTTGGCTATATGAAATATCGACTGTATATTGACTGTATAAAATATCGCCAGTTGTTTTTTGGGTAGCATACTTACGAGGTCTTCCTAAGGTCCTTCCTTCATTGAAAGTTCAATTGATATAATATGAGTAAAAAACATTCAGAAGGAATAACCCGGAAATCTTGTGAATTTGAACCCCTAACGCCACCATCAGTGCTTAGCATTATGAATGGTGTTTCAATATAAATGTAGACAACAGCAATCTCGAGCTCTTTACCTGCTCTACTTCCGATTAGAAAGTAAATTGCTTACTACAGCTTATTCTACGAGGCGATATTTTGAAACAGACAATTTTGTTTTTAATAAAGGAAATAAACAATATAATTTCTGAGATCAAATCTGTTGCTTTTCATAAGATATTAATCATATTAAGTAATTCTGGTGAATTCGAAGTGAAAATTTGTTTTAGTTGTTCATAGATGTATCGTTAAAAAAGGTGACATGCTTGCAAGATTTAGAAAGAACACGCTTTTTCGGCAGTCCCGATTTGGCCTCTTTTCTCCATTATCTACTGTTTATTCTTATTACAAGCCGTGCACCATCATACGTTTTTATCAAATTGTTCAAATAGCGAGATTGGGTTCATTTTACAAATTATCATTTAGGTTTAAATTTTCAAGTTGGTATATTGTAGACAAGGTAAGAAGTGTTTCATAACAATTATTTTCTTCAAATGACGATTCTTACGTCTTGAAATGACAGGTCTTCAAATGACAAATCCTTGTAGAGATTCTTTTTTAAACCCAAATAATAAACCAGGTGACAAATATACGCAAACATGATAACTCAAGAGAGTCTCAAAACACAACGATTACGTTATGAGTAGGACTGGGCGATATTAGAAATTATGTATCGTGATGCATCGTCAGTTTTGCATCGCGATATAGCGATGTATCGCGATATAGTATTTTTGAATTTCATTTACTTGTAAGGCACAGAAAGTCAGATTTCTATCAAAACTTCATACTCAGATTGATTTAAATCAATTTATAAATTTGAAGATATATATGTTTTGCTTAAGAAAGATATTAAATAAATTGACTACAATGTACAAATCTTACTTAAAATATTTATTGAAATGTTTGTTTAGAAATTCATAATACGCGTAAAACAAAGTGTTAAAAACTTTTTTTAAAGCGTTTTTTACAAATTAATATTTTCTTGTACTATTATGCATAAATAATTACATAATTATTAAGTTCGATCGTAATGTTCAATTTCTAAATGAAACGTTAAAAATTATTTGTATGTTTAAAACAAAGTGCTAAATAAATTTTAGAAAAAAAAAACGCTTTTAAAACACTATTTTTTATTATTATCATTTCAGTTATTATAGTTCTATTATAGTTCATTTACGTCACACTAGAGCTGCACAATGGGCTATTGGCGACGGTCTGGGAAACATCCCTGAGGATGATCCGAAGACATGCCATCACAATTTTGATCCTCTGCAGATGGGATGGCACCCCCGCTTCGGTAGCTCGACGACCTGCACGCGAAGTCGAGCACTTTACGGTAGAACAGTTAAACGAGGACCAATACCACACACCCTCGGTCCCTACGCAGACTGATCCAAGTGGTCACCCACCCGCACACTGGCCGTAGCCAGTGATGCTTGACTTCGGTGATCTGCTGGGAACCGTGTCTTAACGATCAGTCCACTGCGGGACGTTTAAATTTTCAAGTTGGTATATTGTAGACAAGGTAAGAAGTGTTTTATAACAATTATTTTCCTCATATGACGATTCTTACGTCTTGAAATGACAGGTCTTCAAATGACAATCCTTGTATAGATTCTTTCTTAAACCCAAATAATAAACCAGGTGACAAATATACGCAAACATGATAACTCAAGAGAGTCTCAAAACACAAAGATCACGTTATGAGTTAAATGGCTCCAAATTACACCGAAACAGTAATCCGGAAGTATATTCGGTAAAGAGTTTGCAGTGCTCCCTAGTGTAGAAAACACCATCCATACGGTCAACCATCCACATTACACTCTCAACTACAGTGCGTAACTTTTTTTCCCCTTTGCATTTTCTCTTTTCTTTACCCTTTTGCGTTTCCCGTTTTTGTTTGATGTAATTTTAATGCGCGCTCCTACTTTGATCGCGTCAACGCACCTAATGTCGCAATGTCGTAGAATCGCGTCTGTTACGATATTGCCAACCCAAAATGGTGCTCCTTCCAAATTTTTCTTTGGCTGGAATTCAGCTTTATAGTAACAACTAATAGCAAAAATAAGCAGTCAGTAACGATCGTACATTCTAAATCAAACTTTAACGTGGCCTAAGCTGTCTATGTAAACAAGAATTAATTAGACCTCTTTAATGTTCAATATGTTTTCATTTGATGGAAGTTTATTTTGTTTATTTATTTTCATTAGTTTAATTTCATGTATAAAATGCTACTTTGTAAATGTAGATGCTCATGCGGAGGAATGTTTTTACGATAAGGTGACAGCCGGGACTAAAATGGGATTAACATTTGAAGTAGCTGAAGGAGGCTTTCTTGATATTGATGTGAAGGTAAATTAAATTATGTTTTGTTTTTTTCACTAAAAGGTAACCTGCTCTGTAGTTCAATGATTATCCGTGTACTTAGAATTTTATGAATGTTAAAGTAAAAGTTAGGGTACCCCTCTCACTTTGGCAATTTTTTTTATGTAAATGCAGAAAACAAAGTGGATAAGATTGCAGTATCGTAATCTGCTGCAGAATAATTGCTACGAATAATTGCTGCAGAATAATTGCTCCAGGTTGCGAACTGCGAGAGACTTTAAAAAAAAACATCACAGAATCGAATCAGGTCGATGGGTATAACTTGTAGATAAAATCCATTTGTTATCTTGGCGATTGTACTTAGCGCTGACTATCGCGATACTTAAATATCCCGGATGTATAATAAGAAATTGCAGTGAAAATAGTAGGAAAGTAGTAGATTAAGGTATTGTAAAAGCTCTAAGATACACTGCCCAATAGGAGCACCCTATTCTACATTCTAACTCATGTTGACAGTGTTTCTTGTATTGTTCTACTTAAATAAATGCTAAATATGTTATTGGAACTGATTTGTTATTCTACTCTAGCATTTGGTTTGTTTTCTTGTATTTTTGGAACATTTAGATCTGCTTTTGTCACATGCCGAAAAAGGAATCGTGGATATTTCCATATTGAGATCTGCCATTCCAACTGCAATCGCCAAGTCGTCTAATCGATTTTAAATTTTACAAAAAAAAAAACAAGCAGCTGTTTGCCCAGGGGTGGGTACGAGTTAGCCCTTTCGAGTTTGTTCCTTTCTATGGTGGTTTTTTTTTTAAAGTTTCTCCTGGGCCGCTGCCTGAAAGTTTTCAGGACTGGGCGATTAATTAGCCGCTGTTCATGATACAGAAGTCTCCCCCAAAAATAGCAACTCTAAGAAACATGAAGTTTATTTGTATTATGGTCAATTTTATGCAGCAGTTTAAGGTATGCTGAGCAATGGCACTTAATCTTTAAAAAAAATCTATAGGGGGTATCAGGCAGTGGCACTGAAATGGAAAAACTAAAATAAAGCTCAATTATTAAAAAACAGATGTCTTAATATACAGGTAAATCACATACCAAACTATTAGTTTAGAATGCTAAACAGACGTATAGAAAAAGATGTAATTATAAACACATTGAAATTACTCACTTATAAAATGCATATTTTTTTCCCAAAATGCTTTGAAATTATACTAATTGTTTCAATAAGTAATTTTAAAACTGAATATTAGATAAGCTGCCCTGTAAATTATGCGTAACATAATTTTCACAACTAGATTCATTAAAATAATTTTCAATTAACAGTTAATTTAATTGTAGTAAAATAAGAGGCAAAGAATGCCAGGACTTAGCAATTTAGGTACTGACATATTATGCAGGCATTATTTTTAAAATGTTAATTTCTATGCATCTACATTTACTAAAATTTAATATGAATTAGTTTGAATGCTTTATGCTATAGGAGATTTTATTTCAGTAATTAAACATACTTCAAGTCATGGGACCTTAAAAGTGCAAGTTTTCTTAAAATGATTTATAAGTGAGGTATAAGTCCACATCAGACTGATTTTAATCCATTCATCTAACCATAATCATAGAATTTCGTCAAACCATCTGTTTTATGGTTCAAAACGTTTTATAAAAATAAAATCAGGCACAGAATTCTGGGTTATTTTTATGCACGAAAACAAACGATCTTTTTACTGATAGCAAATTCTAACTATCTTTCATATTTTAGTTTCATTGTATTAAAAAATGTCATTTTTCTTCAATGTTTATTCACGTTTTTGTGTTCGACTTATTAACTTAAAATTGCATTTGCACAAAAATTTTAAATTAGTCCTTTTTAGGTATATCTGCCACGTCTCCAGTTTTTTTTAACAACGGCTCCTGTATTTTACAACAATCTTCTCTTTACCCGTATCTTCTCAAATTTTTCTGTATTTGTTGAAGAAATTTAAAAAAAAATGGGTAATAAACTGCCCGTTGATGGCAAAAATACTTCTTCTTCTCAACAGGTAGTGGTATTGCCAATACTGCAGTATGGATGTTGGGCTTATGTTTGTGAGAACGGGAGTTTGAATCCAGAAGCTATAAGTTCCTATAACAAATCAATACCTCTGGGGGTACATCTGATCCAGGAGCTCCCATGTCTTCTGGATTGGAATCAAAATTACAAGGATACAGATTTGAACATTGGTAGTCGTAAACCGAGAATTGGATCGGCTGTTCACCGATGGTTATAAAATAAATTAATTACAAATATTAATTAGTTTAGAGAAATCTTCTTTAGATTAAGATTTATAAACATATTTTTTAATTCGTTAAATGTAAGTGTTTATATTATTTTGAATTTTGACCTACATGATTATGCATGATGTTTCAAAACTTTACGCGTAGCCTAAAAAATGTTGCTAGGAAAGTCTCTTTTATTTTATTTCTCCAATGTTGGCAGGTATGAAATTGCATCTTAGTAAGTATCTCAAAAGTCATTAAGATGTTCTTCCTGAGATTGTTGTCCTTATCAAAATTTTACTTTTAATTTATGTAGATTACTGGTCCTGATGAGAAGATTATTTACCAAGGCGAGAGAGAATCAAATGGAAAGTATACATTTGCTGCCCATGTTGATGGGGTTTACACATACTGCTTTAGTAATGCCATGTCAACAATGACACCTAAAATTGTCATGTTCTCTATGGATGTTGGTGAGGCACCCAAGGCACAAGAGGCGGAAGCTGAAGGTATAGATAGCTATACTTCTATTTCCCCCATATATAGATACCAATATTTATATTCTTTTAACAGGGATGAGGGATTAGAAGTAGATTAAGATTTGTATATGATATTTTCTATTTAATACTTAAGTTACTAAAGTTACTTAAAGTTAAGTTACTTAAGTTAAGTATCATGTTCTTTTAAATGAAATGAACCAATTCAATTAGTATCTATTAGGACTGGACGATGTTAAAATTTTGGCATCGCAATGTATCGTCACTTTAACATCGCAATATTTTGATGCATTGCGATATTTTGGTACATCGTTATGTTTTACATTTAATACTACATAAATTCGCAATTAGTATGTTGCGTTTTTTAAATAATTATTTCTCAATATTTAAGGACGTAGATGTCTGAAAAACAGCTGTTAAAGAACATTAAAAAGCTGGATTGATTGTAAGGAAAAAAGGAGGAAAAAACATCACATTCGGATTCATCATGTCAGCAAATGATGAGTTCGTGATATAAAACAGGCGGGGAGCGATAACGATCATCGCCACAGCTATCACTGTGAACGTATGAAGGAAAATGCTCTTCACGCGGGCTTGCAGACATTGATGTACTATCGGGAAATATCGTCCACATTTCAGTAAATCACAATTTTAAAAAATTGCCAAGCCAAACATCGAATTGGCAATGATTGCATAATAATCTATACTTTCCGATGCATCGATTTATCGCTCAGTCCTAGTATCTATTACTTAAAAATATATCATTTAGCAAAATCTCGGAAATTTCTTTTACAAAATCAGATAAAAATATATTAATCTTGCGTATTTACCTCTAGATGGTAGTAACTATGGCTTGATTGATGTGGACTAATTGAGGTAACTCAAAATAAACTTAACTTTTATTTTAAAATAAGAAAGCGTAATACAAGCAAACGATCTTAGAACGGACAACCTTGCTCATTGTTGGTCAGAACAAAACTAACTCTTTTTAGTAAGAAGTAAATAATGTGACGACAGCGCCATCTCTGAATTCACACAAATAATAGACAAAATTATAAATTCTGATTTTATGAGCACCATTTAAGGTTTCGCAATATTATGGTTTAGACGATAATTTTTGGGTAAAGAAATGAACTTTTGAAGCTTATTGTGAAATTCCAATTTAGATTCAGAGAAGTATAAAATTTTGCTTTAATTGTTAATAATTTGATCACAAATGATTTTGATCTTCACAAGACTGCTGTTTTCTTTGTGTTATATGTGACAAAACTAACAATGGTTATAAAATTAGCTAAAAAGTGTTATATTTTACATGATTGACAAAGTTGGTGAAGAATTTTAAACAATATTTCAACTATCTCAAAAACTCAGAGGTTATTTTTTATGTGAAACAATGAAGTTTTAAATAAAAGTATACTGAATTCTGACAAAATCAGTTGGTTTGGGTAAATATTACTTTTATTTTTTTAGTTTCCTAAAAAGTCTCTAATTTTTAGTTATTAGGTCCAAAGGGGCCTACTATTTTGATTCAAATTTACTGGCAGCCTGAGATTTTGTTTAAAAATTTAATAGTTTTATTGTCAGTTACAAAATTGATTTATTTTTCAGCTCATCAAAATAAGCTAGAAGAAATGATCAAGGAACTGTCCACCTCATTAACATCAGTAAAACATGAACAAGAGTACATGGCTGTTCGTGACAGAATACATCGTTCAAGTACGGTTCCCCTCTTCTAATATTCTTCCTCTTTTAATTCTTTTTGGGGTGCACAACATGTATATATATATATATATATATATACTAGCTGACCCGGCAAACGATGTTTTGCCATATGAATTATTTCTAGAGTATGAAAATATATCTTATTTATTGTAAATGTGTGCGTATGTGGTATATGAGTGGAAGAGGCATGGAGCGCTGTGAACGATGACGGAATGTGAAAGTAACAACACACCAAATAATATTTTTTTTTAATTTATTGCAACTTTTTCTTATAAATTATATATACAACGAATTCTGAAAATATTAGTCAACAATATTAATCTCTTAGTGCAATGGAGTGTACAATATTTTTTGTCATTCCATCTTTAGCTAACACAAATAAACTGGATGGTTTGCCCACTCGAGAGTATGCCACGTATCTGTGCGAAAAACATGGTGTGTTCAAATCTAAGACGCAAACAGACATTGTTTGGCCTTATCATTGCGAATGCCAATCTAATGTGGAACTGAATGCGTTTAAATTGAATTGGCACATCTGTGGGGGCATAATAGGCATAATAGGGGGCATAATAGGGATTGGCACATAATAGGGATTCGTGGAAGTAATATACTTTCATCCCGGAATTTGTCATTTAAAATAATGACTTCGATAACATTGTTCTTTAATTTTTTAACGACTAATCCCGTGCTGTTGCACAGACGTGGTGGGTTCAAATTACGAAACAAAATAATTGGAGATCCAACTTTGAGTGCAAAATTATGCGGTGGTATGCCTGATAAATCCAATGAGTTTAAAAACTCTGTTGGAAAATTTGGAGCTGATGTACCGGCCAATTCGGTACTGCGTTATTTCGTCGTTGTTATTCACTGGAAGAGTAGTCACATTAGTATTTTCAACTCGAAATACTGCCATATTATATACTGCCTTTATTCACATATACTTGCAAATATATTTGATGTTCTTCTTTTAAGGGCGAGCGTAAGTATTAAAGTTTAATATGACTTGTTGCAACGTGTGTGAATATTACTTTTGATTAATTATGTTTCTACGTCTAGTTTGGAATCGTTTAAATTAAGATATATTTAAAATATACGTTAAATTTTTCCAAAATATGAAAAAACATTAGTTATAAACCTATTCTCAGACCTACTGAATATACATATAAAATTTCATCAAAATCGGTCGAGCCGTTTAGGAGGAGTTTAACCACTAAAACTGTGACAAAAGATTTTTATATATATATAGATTATGTGTATTATATATGTATGTAGATACAGTACAGAACCCGTTATCCGGAAATCAGAAAACCAAAAAACCGGAACGAAATTCGATAAATTTCCCGCCATTTTTCAAACAAAATTTTTTTTTTTCCTTATAAGATTTTAGGATTTTTCTTTCTTTTTTGAAAGATGTTCACCTTACCATCATTTTAGAAATAATCATTAGTGTATTACTTCATCGTTTTTTCTTCTTTTTAAGATTATTTCCCCCCCCCCCAAATTTTTTTTAAAGTTGGGTTTAACAATAAAAAAACGGCTTTTTGTAGCGATTCAGAAAACCGGAAAAATCAGTTATCCGGAATAGGGATGGTCCCGATCGTTCCGGATAGTCGGTTCCCTACTGTATATATATTTATATATCCAGATATATGTGTCTGTTCTCACACTGCTGCTTTTGCTATATTAATACAATTTTAAAAAGGGCGCTCATTTTTGCAGATAAAATTGTGTGATTTGATGACGAGATAATATCTTTTCATTATTTTGTTTACCGGCTTTTTCAGTTTTTTTAAATAAGTAATAATAATTTTAAAAAATTCAAATAAATTAATATTTTTAAAAATATTTCAGTTTAATATTTTTTTCTTCTTTTCTTTTTATTAATCTTTATCATATTATTTTTCATGTTATCTCTTTTTTTTTTTTTTTTGAAATATCAAGAATTATTTATTAAAATAAAATATTTACCGTAAAATATTATAAATACTCAATATTTATCAATCATTGTAAATCTATGTAAATTAAATAGCTTTAACTCTAATTTTTGTAATATCAATAAGATAATACAATTAAAATCAAGACTATTGTGTTTTAAAAAAAAATGTGCAATTTTCCTGAAAGTATTAATTCTGTACAAGTGAATTTATTGGTTTAATATTTATAATATGTTTTAGAAGTACTTTTCCATTTCGCCGGCGATAAAGATTGCCACTGCAAATTCACCAAATGCAAATAAATTTATGTGTTTTTCTTCTTCTTTTGTTTATATTTTAGATGATAACTATTTGAAAAAAAACATAAAAATAGATGAATAAAATAGCTGAATCTTCTTGTGCTGGTGAAAGGACCCTTTTAATTTTAATTGATAAACACATTTTTGTTTAATTTAGTATTTTAAAAATTAAACAGCAATTTTAAAATATTTTTCGATTTTGTTATTTGCATCTAAAATTTTAATTAAGACTTCATTTTAAATTTAACTAATTGTACTTAAAGTTTCATTAATTTTTTATTATAAAGGACCAAATAACATTTGATATTGATTAAGATGAAAAAGATTTGAACTATTGGGAAAAGCAAAAACTTTTTATTTTTTAACACTGATGATAGTGTCCGTAATGATTTAAATACCCGAATCAAACGACCCTTTGAACCTCTAAAAAAAACTGACTGCAAAAATTTCTAAGAATTAAAGAAAAAAAAATTATAGCAAATTAAGAAAACGAAATGAGAAAGTTTTAACTCATGGATAAAGTATTATTTTCCCTGAATAGAATAAAAATAAAACTTAGAATTTCAAGAGAGAAAAAAAGGAATAAATAGTAAATCTAAATAGTAAATAAAGGAATAAATAGTAGTACTTCAGGAATACTAAAAAATTAATAAAAAATGGCATTTAAGAATAGAAACTCCGTATTTCTACGTTGAAAGTTGCTGTCACAAGAGACTTGCAGTCACCAAGATGGCGCCGTGTCACTACTTAATCTACGTATCCAGGGCTTTAAAAAAAACATGAGTGGAGAGTAAACTATTGGTTTTATGAATTTGGATCAGTGGCAATATCACGTTTTTGTTTTGTTTTGTTGTAGAGAACACACATTTTGTTTCTTAGAAAATAGTTTTAAATAACAAATTCCTTGTTCAGATTATGTAGTTAAGTTTGGTTGAGATGAAGAACAGGAGTATAGTACCTTGCAGGCTTAATTTTTTTTAAAGAGTTATACAGTATTACAGAATTCAAATGTTTTTAAGTTAGAAAAATGCTTAATCCTTCTATGTAAGCTTGGCAAGCATTATTTTTGTTAATCATATGTGTGTATTGGAAATTTTATTAAAAAATTACAATAATCAATAATTACCAAATCAAAAATTTTTTTTCAAAATATTTACATTTTTTATTTTGTATGTTTTAGAATAGAGAAAATAAGCTTCATTTAATTGAAGTATGGTGTGTAGTAAAAAAGTCTTTTGGTGTGTAGTAAAAATGTTTTTTCTTTCAAATTTTACCATATTAACATTTGGTTTATTATATCATTGAATTTAAAAATAAATTATTTGTGCTCTGTTTTTGATTATAAATAGATTCAATATGGTATCACCTGGATATTTTTAACATTTGCTTTCAAAGAACTTCGCAATATTTTCATGAGTTCGAAAATTTTTTCATTTAAATGAACATTTAATGCATTTTAAATAAAAAAGAAGCTATATTTCTTTCATTACATTTATTAATGAAATTCAAGGTTATTTCAAAAATTTTATTTCCTCAAAATATGCATTAAAATTGTTACTTTTTTTGTTTTGTACTTGTACTTTTTTCTCTTTATATTTTAAAATCAAAACTTTTGCTTAATTTTCTTTTGCATATTACTTTTTAACAGTAAGCTTCCTTATGTATGTTATGCGCCATATCCATCACTTTGAAATTGGGTGTTTTTATTTAATGTTTATATATTATATTAAGCATAATAATATTTATTTTTCATATTCTTGTGATAATTTTGTGAAAGAATAATTTTAATATTCCAGTTAATGAAAGCACCAACTCCAGAGTTGTGATGTGGGCCTTTTTCGAAGCTGTTGTTCTGGTTGCGATGACGTTTGGGCAAGTTTACTACTTGAAAAGATTTTTCGAAGTCAGAAGAGTTGTATAAATTTATTTGTTTATATTAGGTGGCAGCACAAATATTTGTTTTGTTTTTAAAAAAATTGTATTCATTTGCTACAACAAATCAATGTTGGCCATTGTTAAAAACTCCACTTACATCTATCCTCATAAACAGTGGTTAAAATTTGTATTATTTTTTAACATTTCAGTTTCTTCGGGTCATGTTTTTTATTATGTTGGTTTTACTCCTATATTATAGTGTTTGAAATTCTGAATTATTTTTGTAATTCTTATTACTTGTTTTGTAATTCTATTATTTTGTAATTCTTATTACTACAATGTAATTCTTATTACCTCACTTCTTATCTTAAATACATCACACATGATTTACAAACAATGGTACTGACTCTACCTTTCAGTCTATTTTAATTTTAAAAAGTTACTAAGCAGGTTTATTTGTTTGAAATGATGTATAGAAATAAATCATTCTTTAAAAATTGATGTAACCCTGATGTAAATTTTTCATCTTTAATATTCAAAGCTGTGCAGATTTTAAATGCTTTTTCTGGAGAAAAAAAAGTGTGAATCAGCAATTGCATCGTGTCATTTCTATGAAGCATGTTTCAGTGTTGCCCATTTTGATTGTGATATAAAAATTAGTTGTAACAGATGCTCAAAACAAAATTTGCAATGGAGTTTTAATAAATATTTTTCTCTCCACTCCACCCACTGTTGCGTTTTTATTTATAGTTAAGAAAAATAAATTCAACACTAATTTAGGATTGCGGATGAGTGGTATTTTCAAAATTATAACACATGTGCCGGAAAAATTCGTAACTGTGTTTGCTCAGCAAATCTCTTCTTTTCACACATTCCGTTTATTTAAAAATACATTTGTTACGAATCAATTCTTTTTGGAGGCATCAATTCATCGCCAATCATTTTATTTCAGTTGTTCTCGATACATTCATGCCCGAAGGAGCACTTCTTGAAAGCTCATATTTTGTTGTTTTCAGTCTAATTATTATTTTTTCATTGTTACGTTTGTTAATAAATATAGAAGGACATATTGATTGTTTTCTTACTGACCAGGGCATCAAATGGTAGAGATATACGCATATCCCGAAATTCGAAATAGATTTTCTATCAACGTTCAATGTTTTCAGCTTTATTTGTGGGTCCCAAATACCTGTAAGAATGTGCTGCCATCTATTAAAAAGTTACATCACTAGCATCAAGGGTGCATAGCATTTTTAAAAAGTGCTTAAAGGTGCTTATTTTTGATTTACGTTTTTTAAAGGTGCTTTTTTTGTTTGGGTTTGTAAAAAGTGCTTAATTTTAAAAAGATTAATCTTTTAAAAAGAGTTTTTATCTTTCCCATGCCGATTGTCCTTCTGAATATTCCCTATTTTCTCTGCAATGTTTATCAGAAACTAGTTAATTTATCAAGATTATGTGAAGTTTTTGAATTTTATTGAGTTTATGTGTATGAATAAAGAACTTAAAAGAAAAAAATAATTTTTATAACTGCACAGATCCTAATTATGATGCTTTTGTTTTTGGAAAGTGATTAAAAATATTTTTTGAGTGCTTGAAAAGTACTTGTAGGTGCTTATTTTCGGTTGAAGAATCTGGCTATGCACCCTGAAGGAGGAGTATAGAGAGATATGTGATGCCAAATGGGACAGAACCAGAAACTTTTGGTTTGGTTCTTTAATTTCCATAGAAACGGATGTATTCCACGTACTAAGAAAACGATATCACCCTGAATTACTTGTTTTAATGATCAGATTTTTCTTGTACTGAAAACCAATGGTATGAAGGCTTAAACCTCAAATAACCTAATTAATTAATGCTAACTATTAATTTACCGAATTAAAAATTTACTTTCTCTGAATAAGCATTTTTGTTTATCTGGGTACGGGAAAGAGTCACAATCCAGATATTGTGGTGCTAATTAATTAAATCTATAAGAATGTCTTGAAGTTTCCGATTTCTCAATTTAACTTTTAGCGTTTTTGGTCATATATTATTAAAACTGATAGTGTAATTCAAGAAGTAACTGCTTTCACTTTTAAAATTGTTTAGCCGAGGATAGTTTTACACAAAAAAAGAATTTATTTTAAAATATTCTAAAGAATTAAAAATTTTACTTTTTCGTGACTTAGAAAATAACGCAACCGAATTTGTTTAAATCTTGCATTTAGTCCTTCAAAATTACATGGCTTGAAAAAATATTACAGAAATGTAATTCTTTACAATTGAAAAATTTTCATCTATTTTTAAATTAAATAAGAAAAAATATTGGTAAAAAAAAGGCTATTTTTTCATAAACTATCGATTGGTGAAGAAGTTTTATAAGTGGATGCAAGGAAATTTTGAAATCTGTAGTGTGATCCCATTTATATGCGCTAAAATACAGGGTATGAAGGAAGGTAGAAAAGTTCCTTGTCTAGAGAAGGGTGAATACCTGTATAGAATGACCTTGCTTTCCCATGATGCATTGTGTGTCCCATAATTCTTCTCAATTTGGTTGTTTTGCTTTCATTAGTCACCACAATAGTGAAATAATATAAAATACTATTGCTAAATATTAATAATAAAATTTTTAAAAAAAATTTCGTTAAAAAAGGAAGGAAGAAAAGTGATGGGTACTTGTAAATAAAAAAAATAATTTCGAGAATTATGTCGGTTGAGTAAATTAACAATACCTTTTAAATTATTCAGAAATGAGTATGTCATTAATGATTATTTCTGAATAATGTAAATAATAATGATTTTATTTTCTTAAGCAATATCAACTTTTCATTTAAACTGCATATTTTACAAATTAGATTGTAAAATATGCAGTTATAAAATTTAGGAAAGTGAAAGTAAGAGTATTTATAAGATATTTATTATTTACCTTTTTGATTATTTACCTTTTCTCAGATTAGTTTCATTAGAAAATCATTTTGTTACATTAAATTATTTATTTTGTTTTTAATGTGTAAACTAACATTAAACAGGCTTACAGAAACATAGACTTCGAGCACATGTTTGGAAAATTTAAATTTTAAGAAATCAAAATATTTGTAGAAAAATGTTTTTGCTGTCTTTTTTTTTTTTTTTTTAAGCTAGACAAATATTTCTGAATTTTCAAATCATTTGCTTAAAATGATTTATTTTATTTCATACATGCAACTTTGCCTAAATTTTTTTTTAAATCTTGAAATAAGAATTTAATTATTTTTTTGTAACTATTTTGTAGTCCAATTATTGAAGAACAGCAGTCAATCTTTGTATTTTGTAATGACTCACACGACGTAACCGTTACTCAACGAGAATAAATTTTAATTCAATAATATAGTGAGTGACTAAATTCTCAAATTAAATATTTATTTTGATGAATCAAATTAATGATTTTGGCTATGACGAATGTAAACTATGCTAATCGAAAAAGTAAATGTATTTATTAAATCACTTATACCTTGAAAACTTTTGTGACGTCAGCAGCAGGAATGACAAAGAGCGACAAAGCTATCTGATAGTATCTAACTACAAAATTAGTTAATTAATACCATCTGGAAATGTCGAAATATCTCTAACCCTACGTAAACGCAAGATGACACCTGATCTTTTGTTAAGATTCCAAGTAGAAAATTGAATTATTTGAAGCTGATTTTTCATTCCCTTCCAGCGACATTCACAATAATTTCAAATTCAATAATTATCACTCTGTATAATCACGATGTTGTCATATTTGATACATCTGTGTGTAGAATCTGTGATCTGTATAATCGAACCTGTTCTACTCGTTGGCAAACTTTTCGTGATACCGATAAATAGTGATTTTTTTTAAATAACATTTATGACATTTTCATCTAAAGGATAGAGTTTAAGAATTTAAAATTCTTGATCAAAAAAGATATGAGCAATTTATTATTATTAATAGTTCTTTTTAAAATATTTTAACATTAAAATTCAATAAATTTAAAAGCCTCGAAATTGTAATGCCGTTTGGTGTTTGCACGAATGGATGGTTGACCGTGTAGAGCTGAGCACAGATAGTACTAGGGATAGTACTAGCCATAAGACTTCCGGGTTACTACTTACGATTGACTTTTTCGAAAAGCACTCCATCCAATATTATTATACTTGTATTATTTACCATATAACACGTTTTTTCGATTTAACTTTCAAAGAAACAAACAACTGATGAATTCGGAAGACTCCGCAAGCCTGCTATGGTGTTACCCCAGAAATAACTAACGTCACTGGACCGGGATAGCCTGGTCGGTAGGGCGCTGGGCCTGGGCCCATGTCCGAGAGTTCGTGGGTTCCAAACCCCGCGGGCCGAAGACTCCGTGTAGTAAAATGGTGACTGATGCTGTCGAGTCGCAAAGTCCTCCATCCTCCCGTAACAAATCAATACCCCAGGGGGTACTGAATTGGAGATTGATCGTTCTCTGATTCAGGTCAAAATTACGATCTGTGGATGAATGGGTCCGCTCTATAAACGGGCGTGACGTAATGGGTGTGGTAGAAGTCGAATTCTTGGCCATAGATGGCGCCACTGGAAAACAAGAACAATTGCACCCCTCTGCCTTAACAGGCATACGCAAGCAAGCAACTAACGGCGCTATTTTACACAAATATAGCCAAATCAGAGACTACACACAAGCCTAAACTTTATATAGTGATATTAATTTTTTAAAAATCTGTTTTAGGCTCGCGACCTGTTAGAATTTATAAATTACAGAAAAATCTTATGAATGGTAAAATTACGCGTCAATTTAAACACAAATCACAATAACAGGGCCGGATTTCCGGAATTTTTGCTAACAGTGATCCGGATATCGAATGTCCAGATGTTTCAAAAAATCATTGATCACAGAAGTTTCCGGAAATCAAATTTTCAAAGGTGGAACTTAAAAACACAGTTTATTTTATTTGTAAGGGAGAGTCAGAGAGATACTTTATAAGCTTATATTCGTGATTAATATTCATTTTTTATCCGTAAATAGTTCAAATCAAATAAACTCAAGAAAGAAAGACATATTTGTAAATTTTAATTACTTCTCCAGGTCATCATAGGTATGTGTAAAATTTTAAATATATTTTAAGTAAGCTAAAAAATATTGAGAAAAAGGAAAAAAATCTTGTTTAAATGTTTTTCTAATTTTTCAATTTAAACTATTATTATTATTTTTTTTAACTCAAGAAATTTTCCGGAATTTTGACTTGGGCTCGCAATCACCCCTGCAATAATTGAACTTCTTTGAATATCAAGCCTGTTCACACATCGCCTCGTAAGCATAATATAAGCGGAGGTATACACCGAACGTTTTCTAAATTTCTTCCGGTTTTGGGAAGCTTGTTATTGTTTATATTCAGCCAACCATCCATAAGCATATTTATGCTTAACAATGTAACTTATGTTACTCTGCATATTTGTGTCCATCACATTTTACTTCTGCTCTTAAACTGTGTGTTTATCGAGCTTTAAAGATCTTTAATTTTTTTCTCGTGTTTTTGCCTGCTTTGAATTTCTAAAAATGTTGTTTCCATGACTACGCACGTTTTGATCTGTAACAATGGTTTTCGTCAATGAAATTTCGTATTTTTGATACTGTGTTCGTACCACATAACGTGGGAGAGTGATGATTGTTTGCAAACTTAATGGAGCGGCAAAATCCTTGAAAATTAGCTATGGAAAAGAAAAAACAATCTGAATCGTT